GAAGTGGTTGCAAATGGAAGCACAAGGCCGCTTCGATAGGAAAGCGGCTACTCTTGTTCAGGCACTAGCTTCTCTATTGATCAGTCGGGAGACTCATGTCACAAAGCACACACTTTCTGCTTCTCTTCTTCCCTTTCAAGTTAGACTGACACTGTTTTCACATCAGTGCAGCAACAGCTTGGTCACACCATTGTGTCCATCTAAACAATCAAGCGCGTTATTGTGTTTTTAGTGTACTTCTGCTAATGGTTAAATCATTCGTTTCAATGCAAATTGTAACAAAACTGCCTTTGTAGTTTTTTTACGCATTATTGTATTTTATTTTGTGATAGCGTATTCATCAAGTACACTGGTTTAGTGTCTCGTTGTCGTTCTTAAGCATTTGCCGCAAATGTGCATAAGTGAAGTCATGCTAAAATGAGTCCCTCCAAGCCTAGTAGTCAAACATGCTGGCACAAAACTACCGCGACATCGAGGAAGCTTGTTAAACATTGTGGCAGCATTTTGAACAGTTGCCAACCCAATTTTCACTGAGTTTTCTTCCTTTATGATTGAAAACGCACAAAAGAAAAATATAACAGGCGTTGAAGAGCCAGTAGATTAGGTTCATCATATGATGTGAGCACAACCATTCTGGCCACCCCTTATCTGCTTGCGCTTTCATCTTGTCTCCACATATGAGCTGTAAAACGTTGCTGCATGTTTTGCAGTAGAGCCAGTTCACCATAAACGAAAAACTATATTTTGTTGTGCAGGTATGACATGATTGCCGTATATACGAATGATAGGATGAGTGCTCTGGAGGGTGAGTGCATTTTTTTGTTATTTTTCGATTGTACTTTCACGTTTATGTATTGCGTATCTGCTGCACCAGTGAATAATTCGCAGATACTATCAGCCTTCTAAGTTGCTCCTAAGATCTGAATGAAATGACGACCAGAGGGGTATTAGAAATTCAGGTACGTTTTCTTTCAAAGCAGATTATATTCTCGTTTGTGAACTATATTAATGTGGTATCAGTTCAGCAGTATTCTTCCCTATTTTATTTTTTCCATCCCTTTTATTTCATTCCGCAAATGAGTTTGTAAAAACGTAGAAAGTTAACATCGCGAACATTTGACCACGGCATTGTGCTGGCGGTGACTCTTAATAGTGAAGCATTCAGTCATATGATAAAAAAAATGTGCAATTGATTACTAGAGATTTTTAATGGAGCTTATCAAAGAGTTTGTTGATGGAGCCTATCAGACTAATACTGTCATCTTTTTGCTGGGAATGTTTTTGCGGCCGATGAAGTTCTGTACAGCAAAAGGTAACAGTCTTCCCTCACTTTGAAGAGTGTGCTCCATAGGTGAATTTTTAAGGGTATTTCTTTGGGATATCATTATAATAGACAGTATACAATATTAATACGCACATATTAGGGCAACATTGAAAAAAATACGTGATAAATAATAATTGCGTCAGTTCGCAATTCAGCGTGCCCGGTTTTTTCCACTAAGGTGCCAGCGTGCTCTGGTACATTAAGACGCACTGCACTGTGGACAGTAAGGCATTCAGATAATATATACCGCATTTATAGTAAGTTTTATGTCTTCTCAAACGAAGCAAGAAGTTGCATATACAGAGCAAGTAACTTTATTTTTCTATCGCATCTGGGAGTGTGGGACACATTGCAGAACAACGCCACTATGCTGCAATGCAGTGATACACACTGCACACTGTTTTGCGTGGCTTTGAGTACGTTTAAGTGTGCTGGAACACACTTCACAATGTTTCAAGCACGTTTGCCTCCTGTGAAAGACTTTGGAAGATATAGGAAATACACTTCTTTGCGTTGGCGTCGGGAAAAATTAAAAAAAAACGCCATGCCTCTGCGGAAGGCGCAGTACAGTCACAACGAAAGCTAGAAGAGCGGCCTTTCAGAACCTTTTTGAAGCACTCATTGAGTAACTATACCGCAAGCACACTTGTTTGATACCCACTATAATAATATAAATACTTTATTTGGGTAGGGGGCCGGCATTCGCTATGCTATATTTTGTCACTCTTCTGAGAAGCATGGTATCCGCTAAACACTTGCAAGGAATTTTGTGCCTATTGTTTATGCAGTGGCTGATGACAACGAGGAAATATCGCTGAAGTGGGTATGCGCCACAGTTAATAGAGGAACAAGAAAAAGCTTTTGTGACTGGGCTGGAGCATTGAGCGGCCTACTCGTTACGCTATTAGAATTGTGCAACAGCTGGTTATTCTTTCGCTGTTTTAAAACGCTGCACAGGTCGTATTAACGTGGTTGCTTTCCCAACATTGATCCTCCTTAAGGTAAGTTTGACAAGTCACAAGCACCGGTTCACTATGGAAAAGTCGCATGATTGATAGACACACCGAGCCACCACCGTCGGCGAGATCTGTCTTCCGAGAAGCAGCTGCTCAAGTGCTCAGTGTTGTTGAGACCTTTCACCCCGTTCCGGAGTGGCTTCCCGTTCTTGACGCTTGTGTGCGTTTGCCTGACTTCTGATGAAGTATCCTGTGTGTACTTTAGTTGTGATAATTTCATTCATTAAAGAAAAAAAACGGTGTAGCTTTATGGTAGAATACTGCGCTGACACCCAGCGGATTCGGTTTCGAGCCCCAAAGTGCCATTGGTGCTAGGTCATGCCTGCCTAGGCAAGTTTAACAAGTTACAAGCAAATACCGGGCTGGCACCCGGGTTCAAGCCCCACTGTTTTATCAGTGCTAGGATGTGTTTTCTTTTTTTTCGCGCGATTTAGTTACGGACACCGGCGGCGGCGGAGGCGGCAACTGCGCGTGACCCGAGTTGTAGTCTCATAACAGCTTTCGCTGTGAAACAAGTGAGAACTAGCAAATTGCTGCCACTTACAGCATACGTTGTAAATTTGGCAAATCGTGACAGTTCAGACATGCCTCATATTAGAAAACATCTATTGCTACAATTACAATGCATCATCATACAGTGCACGAAAGTACGGAAGCGGCTCTTCGGGGTGTGTTCTCGCTGTACGTAGTAAGTTACACAGCGCTCAGGTAGTTAAATATTGCTATCACTAAAGCACACCAACGTACACGTCTTTTTTTTTTCATAATCTCTTTTCAGTGGTCAGCCCCGGTAACCACCTTTGCTTACTGTATTCCTCTTGAAACACGTGAGCGCCACGTGTCAGATTTTAAATGGCGAATATTTTAGAGCCTTCGGCAATCCGACAGAGATGACGCTACTTTGTTTAGATTTCGATGTGCCATGTTACGTGGGCTTTATTACGGCTGCCATCGTCCTCAAGGCGCGCTAGATGGTGGACCCAAAATATTTTCGTTGATGTTGTACGAAGATCAAATTATCTTCTGTTCTTGTTACGTTGATAGTCTAGGAGAGCATGTTGCATGTGTAGCTAACGCTAAGGAATATAAAAATAAACAGCTGTAAATTCACCGAAAGTGACCAGTAGACCCTTACTACAAGGTAGTCACCTCAGATGACCGCCTCCTGTATTTTGAACTAAAACAGGCATTTCTTGCGGAAAAACAATTTTCTGAAAATGAATTTGGCATTTGTTCAATAAAGCTGTTGCCGCCGAAAATGGAGCTCTGAGAATGAAATAGTTAAGGTATGAAGTGTTTTGAATAGGTTTTAGAGCAAAAGCTGTTATAAGATCACAGTAATGGGCGTTCTTGGAGCCGTATTTATTAGCCGCTGCCATTGAAGGTGTCCTTAGGCACCATCATGTAAATAAAAACAAAATATGTAAAAAAATATTCAAGGCCCAACGTAGTTTGAGCCAGGGCCCTCTTCGTGGCAGCCCAGCATTTGACTACAGGGTCATGCCTCTACTTGAATATCCTTCTCAAGAAGACCCTATAAAAGCTTCGGGTCGGCAAAGAACGAACTGTAACATACGTGATGTAGCTCTGTTAAAGATAAAAAACAACAACCAGGAGTTACAAAGTAGCATTTGTGGAACTAAGTGTCACGTAGTGTGAATCGCATAACTAGTAGGAGGGTCGTTGAATGTTTCTAAACTATTGCGAAAGGCTCCCTGCACAAACATTCTCCTTCATAAGCCGCAGAATGAATAAAGTGCACATTATTCGTTGCCAGTAAGTCACCGGTACAACCCTTCGCCAAAATGATTAACTTCACAGCTTCTCATTAGTTATGATAATTTGATTCGTTAGGGTTAATTCGCAAGTGTATTTGTATCAGTGGCCCAAGAAGCTCATAATGCCCTCATGATCCGTTTGCTTGAGACCAATTAGATTATCTTCTCTGACGTGAAGCTTGCATTATGCTGAGACAGCACAGTAAAATAACAATTGGGCATCTCATAATGTCCAAATTGTAACTAGTGCGTAGTCTAGGTCTTTCAGGCCGTTAAAACATGCCCAGCCATATTTTACATTGTGATCAGCCACGATAAAAACAAAGAGCGCATAATGCCTTGTAAGTGCATACAGGGCAGCTTTCCTTCACCGTGAAACGAAGAATATAGCATATGTGCTTAGTCAGGTCTCAGAAGGAATTATTTAAGGCGTAGTAGGTTGCTTGCAAGTGTACTTGTATTAGTAGTCCCAAGAGTGTCCACAGTACGCTCAAAAAATACTCCTGGTCGAGGTTTTTTTTGTAGGGGTTTGCGTAAGGGTTCGCGTCGACTACAATAGTCAAAAAAGCATGAAGAAAAGGTTGACAAACCCTGGCCATTATTTATGAATGACAAACAAGGGGAGCGGGATACGAGGATGTCTGTAAATGTAAATTACAAAAAAAAAATCGGAAAGACAACCCTTTTTTTCAAGATCTTACTATTAGCCTAGCTAATTGGTGCTCTCTCTGTAAGTTGGCACACACGCTTCAATCCACAATAACTCACAAAATGTTTCCAGAATTTGAGACCTGAAATTCTTAAGGAAATGCTTTGAGGCTTACGGGGTTCAATAAAAATAACGTGTAAAGTTTTTATGAATACTTTGAGAGCTAATGAAAGTTTACTACTGTTAGCATGTACGATCAACTTTCACAATCGGTCTTCCCAGGTTACGCATTTGTTGGCTCTGCTTGTACTACGCATCGCCAGCTACTTGGTGAAGATACGGCATATACCTTCAGGGGGATCCGTATTGTCACACATGAAATAGGACACGCGTAAGTTGTCTCTTTTTAGGTATATATTTTATTCTTTAGCTATTGGACATATTTTAACAGGATCGCATGTGTAATGTGGTGCGTTGCTAGCCGCAATACATATGTACATGATTGTGGCTACGAACCTTTCTTGATAGAAACATCCTGACTACTAAAATAGATTGTTTCCAGTTATTAGTTAGACCACCGAGGTCTACGGCAAAGAGCAGTCTCTGCCGGTTCTTTGGATCTGTTTTAGTGCATCCACAATATGCTTCATCAGGGTAACCAAATACCTTCTGTGCAATATGTATCGTATTAGAGCTAAACATATCATTCTAGCTGGCCACCATACTAGTTGGCAACTAGCATTAATCTATCCGATTCGAGGATTTTACTTCCAAAATGCACATAGTTGGAATAGGCTTCGAAAGCCTTGAAGTATTCGGCTTGAGTAAAAGTATCTGGCTTTAGTCACACTGCAATAACTGTGACTTTCCAATTTTGTGATACACAGGTTAGGATGCTCTCACGATGGCACGTCTGCCCCTGGCATTGTGAAAGCATTTGTGCCGAACAGCCTACATTGTCCTTGGGGTGACGGATACATTATGAGTTACGAGCAACACGACAGCAGAAGCATGCGGTTTTCATCTTGCTGCCGCTACGACATCTCCCAGATGTCATGGTAAGTGTTTACAGAGGCGAGTGATGTACAGTTCACCAAATACGGTTTGCTTGTACATTTTCACGTTTCTTTCTAAGCTAAAGCTACGAAATTCGCTTTAAAATTCAAGTGCCTTCATAACCAATTTCAATTCGAATAACATATTTGGATAGGTTCTTTTTTCTGAATATTAGGTACAATTGAATGTCGAAGAAGTCTTAGTGCATAGCTATGAAAAACTCTTCATACCTAAATGAGAAATTAGCTTTATGTACACGTAGAGTATAGAGAGGCTAGGTTGAGTGTATCACAGAAAGTAGGAGATATCTAGTGAACCGTTATGAGTAAAAAGCAAATAGCAATCACCTAACACAGCTATGTTGGTTGGCTAAAGCCCTACCACGAAAGTGGGTGTAAGTAAAGACTAGTATCCCATAAACCACTTTGCTCGAACGAAAATTTTGAAACACTCTTAACACTTCATAAAAAAATCAAAATGTGCGGGTGTATGGCTGTTTTACTTCCCCGAAACGACTTCAGCTTGTGAAGGGTCTGCTTTTTAACAGTGACATTGCTTAAAGGTAAGGGTGGTATGAGTCATATAAACACCCCTAAGCAATTGGTTAAATTACTGGTACCCATAGAATTAGATGCTTTGAAACGCTGTGAATGTTAGGCGCGTTCAGCCTTCTGGCTTTCTGTCTTGCTGCTTCACACAGCGACAAAAGCAGAGAGCATTGTAATGACCATTTAGTTTCGGCTTACGTCAATTTTTTTTCTGATTCACGACGAAGCAAAACAGTGCAGCACTTGCCAGCTACCTAAAAGCCCACCATAAATCTGCACAAGCTCTGGTAGTGCAATAAAAAGGTGTGACGATTGAAGATTAACTACATGGCAGAGCTTAGCTAGCAGAGCAATGTAGTGGGAAGGTCAAGTGAAAGTCGGTAGGACAGATAGCAGTATGGCGAAGGTTAAAGCATTGCATGGCCACGTATACCAAGAGGTAGAAAAAAAGGAAATGGGGAGTTATTTGAGAATGGCAATAGATAGATTTAAGATTCAAGGTTTAGGATGTCGTAGGTTGCCGGTGGATCTAGCCTTGTGCAGTGTACACAATATCGACCCACGTGGTGTCTTCTTAATTTTTTGTATTGAACTAATTATCATTTTACAAGACGGCACGAACATCCTTTTCCAAGGAGCGGCATAAGGTCAAGCATATTACAGCCAAATATATTATTGTAGCGATAAAGAGCACGAGGATTCACGCTCGGACTAGAAGTTTACGACGTGTCTAATCACCTCTTGGGCAACAGCGATATTCGCTGTAAGTACACAAGCTCTGAGCTGCCTACCGTCTTCGCGTAATAATTAGTGGAGGTAGGCGGTATCACTACTGAACTTTGCAGTGGGCGTGATCTGCTTGCCGCTACGATGGCAAATTAAACGTTGACGTCCGGGACTGCGACGATGACAAACCAACCGTCAAGGTCCATGCCAGCGAGCTTCCTTGTGCAGTCTTCCTCACGCATTCGCGGTACCCTGGACAATTTCGTGGCCCTGACAAGACGGACGTCGAGGAGTGGCTAAAGCTATAGGAGAGGGCGAGCGACAGCTGCAGGTGGCACCTGACCCTCTTGCTGGTGAACCTGTCTTCTATCTCAAAGAACTGTGCGACAATAGTAAGAAATGTATGAAACTAACCTCACGAGTAGGGATACGAGTGGTAAGGGCAGACGCCAGTGGTAAGGGCATCAGCGCTGTTCTTGCTCAGCGTCAACAGGTGCACGACCATGTAATCGACTGCGCAAACCATCTTATCTTCAAGCCTCAATGCAATTACTATACATCTAAGCGAGAATGTCTTGCGCTTGTTTGGGCTGTTGCGAAACATCTACTCTACTTGTCTGATAGTTTCTTCCGTGTCGTAGCTTAGCACTACGCGATTGTTTGGCTCTCTCCTTTCATAAACACAACTGGAAGACCTTAGCGTTGGACTTTGCTTCGACAAGAGTATCGCATTCATCGCGTCTTCGGTAGTACATAAATCTGGACGCATACACAGCGAAAGCTGACTGCATTTCTCGCAATTTCCGTGGATCAATTGGCTGATATGAATACAGACATGTACAACTTTACTCTATTCGTATCTTACTTTCTACACATAGATAGCTAGCAACTGACTTAGACCCTGTTCTCCTGAAACATTAAGGACCGCCTAAGCTACGCACCCACCCACCCTTCTCTCCCAATATTCACAATGCATTAAGGCATTTCACGAACCGCAATGTCCTGCGTTGTTAGTAGTTGTTCACATGCATCTGCGATCGGTCATGCTCTAGAAACTTCACGATGCCCCTACTGCTGCCCATACGGGTATAACTCAGACTTAGGACCGCATAAGGCGCCGCTTCTCTATCGTTCTGTGCGTCGCTATGTCACTTCTTGTGACATCTTTCAGCAACGGCCTGCCTTACTTCTTGCTGTTTTTTTTCAGCCGACCAAAATCTCTCCACAGGCATTCTTCCGGGTGGACCTCGACCTACTAGGCTCTTTTCGTATATATACGAAAGGGAACAAGTGTATTCTTGTCGTAAAAGCATATGCAACCAAAATATGTCATTGAGCTGGAGATAACGACTAGACGCGCAGCAAATGTGGCATATCTTTAACACCATGACGACATTCTGCACCACGGTGCCCCTCGACAGCTGCTAACAGATCGTGCTTTACGTTTCGTCGAAGGTTGTCGACGGCGTGCTTCACTACTGTTTTACTTAACACATCATCACTACGAAGTACCACCCTCAAACGAACGGGCTCACCGAGCGCCTAAATTGTACTTTAATTTATATGCTTGTCGTGCACGTTTCTGACGACCCCTGTGACTTGGACGCCGCCTTATCGTAGATTACATTTGGTTATAATTCGTCTCGTCACGACACCGCAAGATTTTCGTCATCCTACCTTTTGTACAGCCACGACCATATGTTGCCTTTTGGCACGTTACTATCCTCTGGCGCACAATTCTCATCGACTGATTACGCCTGCGATGCAATCACCACGGTGGCCCATGCCAGAATGGTTACTTGTCATCGTCTGACAATGTCGCAAGTTTTTTAAAAGTGATGCTATGACTATGAGCACTGAAAAACACAGTTTTCATCTGATTCCATTGTCCGCATTTGGACACCCTCACGTCGTGTAGGTTTAGCGGAAGCGCTCCTTTCTGGTTACTCTGGGCCCTACAATATCTTGTGCCAGCTGTCAGATGTGAAGTAGGAAATCGCACCAGCCGACGTGTCTTTGATACCTCGCGTCAGCAGTGACATTTCTTACGTCGTAAGCCGGTGGTCTTATTTACCCACAATAACTGATGCTCCGTAACTTGCGCCGGCAGAGAGCTAAGCTCGCCGGGAAGGTGATGCTGCGTTAAAAAGCGCGAGGAAGCTCTCTTGGACTAGAAGTTGATTTCTGTTATTGCCCCTTAGGCAGCAGCTATATTGGCCGTAAATACACCAGCTCTGCGCTCGTGTGCTTACTGTGTCCTTGTAACAATATTGTTATTGCTGCGCTTTATCGTTCAGAAAGCTTAGTGTAGTTATGAGAGACGCCGTAGTTGTCGGCTTCGGAATGTCGACGCGTTGTGTTCTTTAATGCGCACGTAAATATATGTACAAGGGCTGATGGTATTTTCGTTTTCAACAAAAAGGCAGTCGCCCCAGTCTAGATTTTATCCTGTGAACTGCGGGTCAGCCGTGGAGCACGCTTATCCTAGACTGTCATGCTCAGTTTAGAGCCCAGTGAAGGATAGCGTACTGTAGTAAGGGGGGAAAACGTAACTGTCTGTAAACGGAATAAAAAAGAGAAGTAATAGACAGGAGGGACGTGAAACATGGACTTGCGTGGCAGATATAAGGGTTTTGAAAATAAGGAAGAGAGGGAGGACTGAAAAAAAAGGGTAGAGATATCACATAGCCACGTGTGTGAAAGGGAAGATTGGGTAAGGGGGGATGTGAGGGCAAAAGATTCTGATTCTCCGAGGATGCAGATTCTAATTCCTAGGGTCATTCCTCGACGCCACTCCTTATATGTACTACGGCGTAAGCGACGAACGTACAACGTTACAAATTGCTTTAAAGTTGCAGATTCCTCGTTTATTAGACTTCCTTTTATAGAGTCGGCTGCATAAGCTTAACGAAACCTCTTTCAAGCCATAGGCCTACGACTGCATCTTCGATCGGGGTTGAGATAGACAAAGGCGAGTTCGGGAGGCTGTTGGACATTGAAGACTGGGATTACCTAAAGCAGCTGCGTGACAACACATCAAGTGAAACTGCTGTGTACGAAAAGAAAACGTGCAACGCTGGTCTAAATATCAAACGCGTTTTTTGGCCATCCATCCAGGTGAAGATCACACGCCAATCTCACCTTTAACGGCGGATACATTTTTATTCGGAGAATGTCAGGCGTCTGTCGGTGTCCACGTGCCCACAGTGGTTATCTCTTCTCTCTCTCTCTCTCTCTCATAACAACAGAAACGGGCACTGCGCGCTTATCTTCATCGCTAGAACCGGAGCAGGTGGTGTGGCGGAGTAGCGGGGAGAGAGTGGAGATGAAGAGTGCACTATGGCGTGTGAGGGCGCTCGCATCGCGGGTGCTCGGTGGTACTCTCGTGTCTGGGGAGAGAGAGTAGGAGAGAGTAGGCGCTTCGCTTCTCTTTCCTTTTCCGTTCACGCTCTCTCCTCCCTGTGACCCACTCTCCCTTCCACTCGATCGTCATCATTATATCATCATTATCATCATCATCATCAGCCTGACTACGTCGACAGCAGGAGAAAAGCCTCTCCCATGTTCCGCCAGTTGACTTGTCCTACGTATGTATAAATGTAGTGAAGCTCGTACGTACACATAAATGGAGTGAACTGCGCGCCTAATGCTCGGTCTTTCGTTGGCTCGTGAATGTCTAATAAGTGATGACAGTACCAATCATCGTCTCGTCATTACTTGACACCATAAAAAACTAACTACACCGTCTACTCTAGGCGCAATGAGTGCATTCGCCTTTTCTCATGGTTCCCTTAGGGAAGGTGAAGGATATTTGTGGCCCTTCTTATTCAAGAGAACATCCAAGCGGCGTCATACTAGAGAAGCGTTCTTGATGTGACATACAGCTTTGTGGTCTAACCACCTCCAGAGCATGGGCTGGGGCAATTAATAATTTCGTCATGGGTGGTGTCTCGATAGGTCAACTGTGCCAGTTCGATGAATCACAGCCATGGCTTTTCTTCCAGAACTTGCAATAGCCTTCTTTTGGAGGATGGTTCAAGCCATTTGCCAGTCTCCTTTATCCTTCACCTGCTCGATGCATCAGTCAGGCAAATTGATGTCGTCCATTACGCCTCTTAGGCTGATATAATCCCCTAAGTCTGCCTCATGACATTCCACTTGTTTGCCTTCAATATTGGATGGCATCGCTCGTGATTTAAATGACTTGCGTGAACTTCTAGCTTGGATGCATCTGTGTTTAGGCGCGCTTGTCGTATAGCATTCGCTCCCGTCGACGTTGCAGCTCTGGCCGTATCTGGTGTCACCAACTGTTGCAGCAACGCACCTGGTGCCTTCCGCCCTGCCGGTAAAGCCTCTGCACAGTCGCTGTAAGCACTCAGCGGATGCGTGGCAGGCACGCATTCGCCCGTATTTGTGGGAAGTCCAATGCTTCAATGGTTAAAGTAAAATATGCTCACTCGTTATATGTTCTCCATCCATGCGTCACACACAGAATTGAGCACATCGTTAACAAAACTAGCACAAATTTCTAAAAAAAGACACAGGATATTTATGCATTACCAAGTGCTCAGGTAAGCTCTATCTAGGGTTCTGCCTAGGACATGCCTCTATGCAGCAGTTGATTGGTGTGTGGCAGTGTAGCAAAACAGGCTTATATCTCACCAGATTTTTCTTTTTCCAAGTTTGTCTGTTTGATTCTGTGAGTATACTCGGCATGTTTTTTTATGTAGCCTGACTAATAGCTTTAATTTTGTTGCACTGGCAAGGGTGTTCTGTTCATTTGGTACTGTATTGAGAGCATTGAACGTTCTAAATAACTTGTCTACTTCATATGTACATGTTCTGCTGCAAAATAAGACATTAGCTATCCCCATAATAGACATTTGTATTCGCTAAAATGCATTGCTGCTATCAGTGTAGACATGCAAGTTACGCACATAAAACCTTCCGAAGTGGAGAAAGTTGATTACAATGTACATTTTGAATAACTTTTGTACAATACATTATTGTTATTTGTGCCCCTTTTTTCGTTTTCAGGTCCCGCGAAGCAAGTTGCTTGCATGTTAATGATTCTATGAAATATCCCCTTAACTGGCTAATAAAGTATAAACTTCCTGGAGACTTCTTGAGCCTGAATAGGCAGTGTGAAATTGCGTACCCTAACCTTTGGAGAACATATTACGTGCAGGTTAGTTTGATGTTAACATTTGCTGCTATGCTCTATAAATAATGTAGAAGTACTCTAAACTGATTTAAAAGATTTAATATTCATTTTTCCTTGCAGAAAACATATAAATGGTACTGCAAAGGTTACTGCTTCGTCCCAGGACATCAGTTTAGAGCCGCTGATCACTACTGGGACTTTCTATTTGTAGATGGAACTGTTTGCTTGAATAGAACTGCGCATGGACACCACGGCTGGGTAACCCCTTTATTTTATTCTCAAAATACTACGTAACACTTTTTTCACTAGCCTGACGCAGCAGAGAAGACAAATTCAAATCAACAATAATTCTTTGTTCACAGAAATTGATATTGCAGGAATGTTATATCACGTCGACAAATTAATAGTTGAATCTTTATTGCAAATCGGTTTATAGCAGTTTGCACAGCCCTATTGGTGTCTCGCAGCTACAGCATCGTTTGACGTGGATGCAGTTTCGTTGACTTGTAGTTGCACATTCTGGGGACAAACGTCCACAATCATGACTCAACCAAAATTTCTCCTTGAAATTTAAAAACGTAAACAAACTCGCTATTCTTGGAGAAGTATTTCTTTTAATATCCCACCACCACCGTCGACTCCAATCTTATTTCATTTTTGCGGAGTATGGAGCCGTAAAGAAGAATCTGAACCGAGGTCGTTCGTGATGGTGACGCTGAAAAGCAGAGGCGGGAAGGTGGCACATTCGAGTTGAATTCCTGAAGTTGTTTTGACATCTTCAACGCTTTAAAATACTAGGTTTGTTCAGAATTTGTTCTCTCTAGTTCATCGCAGAAATAAATTTGTCATTGTTGTTATTTCATGACCATAGGGCTATCATGATCTAATTTTTAGTCATGGCTGTAAATCCGTGAATAACAACGCTATGGACTAAAGTTTTAGGTTTTGGGCTTCTGAGACCCTAGCTATTAGTGAAATATGTACTAAGATTGTGTCTGAAAAAAAATTCGATGGCTGAAAAAGATACAGTGTCTAAGTTTATATATATATATATATATATATATATATATATATATATATATATATATATATATATATATATATAGATATAAATAAGGGAAAGAAGTGTATAACTAAGGGCTCGTTTTCCCGTGTTTTAACACAATATTAATGAGATCTAACCGACAGTAATGGCAAGGAATGTACAGGGAAAGTTATTAGAACAAATGGAATGTAAATAAAAAGAAAGAAAAGCGGATGAAAAAATAACCAGCCGTGAGCAGGAATCGAACCTACGACGCGTTATATCGAACACGTTATTCGAAGGTCGTAGGTTTGATTCCTGCTCACGGGTGGTTATTTTTTCATCCACTTTTCTTTCTACTTATTTACATTCCATTGGTTCTAATAACTTCCCCTGTACATTTCTTGGCATTACTGTCTGTTAGATCTCATTATATATATATATATATATATATATATTTATTTATATATATATATATATATATTAGATCTAACAGACAATAATGACAAGGGATGTATAGGGGAAGTTATTAGAACGAATGGAATGTAATAAGGAGAAAGGAAAGTGGGTGAAAAAACACGGAAAGTTTCTCACCCACTTTTCTTTCTTCTATTTACATTAAAATTGTTCTAATAACATCTCCTATAAATTTCTTGGCATTATTGTCTGCCAGATATAATTGATATTTGCAAAACACGGAAAAACGAGCCCTTAGGTACACACTTCTTTCCCATATATATATATATATATATATATATATATATATATGTATATATTGAAATGAAGGCCACAGAGGACAAAGTGACAACGGCTGCAATTGGCCAGCTGTTATTTTACCTCTTTCCCTACCTCGCCCAAGCTTTCCAAGCTCGAAGCCCAGTCTCGTTCTTCGCCAGCACATCTCGGCCATGACTGTGAGTGCACGAACTGCCCAGAATGTCTCCGGTGGGCCGCACTGGCTGTTCCGGAGTGGCCGGGCTCGGCCACGCTTGACCTCATCCGGAAGATTTTCAAAGATGGTTCCAGTGGGCGGCACTGCCTGTTTCGCCACTGCCAGAGGCGGCCATGCTGTGACTTGGCATGTTGTCACTCGAATTGTGGCCTCGGTCGAAGTCTCACTATAGACGATTGGCTTTGGAATTTGTTGGCACTTTGGTCAATAATGACTCGGGGGACGGGGGGGGTCGAAACTATCTGTGCCTCAGTGGTTTGTCTTTACGATGCTGCCATTTGGTTTGGAAATCTGGCGGATGACAGTGGGTGTGATGGAGTAGTCTTTACTTGCCGAGTAGACGCTTATGCCATCTGAGTGTGTTGGTGGTGTGGTCTTTATGCGCATTTGCATGCCTAGCCAGAAAATGCTTGAGAAACACACGATGAGTGTGATGGCACTCAGTACTGTTGCGAAAGACGGACCGATCCCGCCGAAGCCACCACTGTTGCGAAAGACGGACCGATCCCGCCGAAGCCACCACTGTTGCGAAAGACGGGGACGCCAACACGGCCCCGAAGGCGCCACCGCTTCCAACTCCGCCGGGAAGGTCACCAGCCGTTTGGTAGCGTATGTTTATCAGCTCGCGACTGCTTCTGCGCAGAGCTGATAAGACGAGCGGACGAGACGACGGTGAGTTAAACAAGGTTTACGTACAGCATATACACAGAGGCATTACAAATTCGGCACTGGGGCCGACAGAGACTCGAAGAGCCGAGCTCTCCTCTCTAATACATAGGTCAACTTTTCGCCTAAGACCGCCGACTCGCACACATGTCGGCTCTCCGACATGGGGACTCCTCTCTCGTAGGACCGCCGATCGCGACGCGCCGCAGGGCTTCTTTTATTTACACCGGGTCCAACCAAAATGTCCAATCAGAAGCGCCGCTGGTCGTCAGGGCAGATTCCTCCAATGGGGTCGCCGCGCCATGCGTCAGACCACCAGACACGAGGACGCCGGCTCGCTGTCACGTGCGCCGCTGACTCAATGCACGTGGGCCAGAGAGGCGCCGCGCGTGTTCACGCCGTTGAGATGTTCGCGTCCGGCGGACTGCGGGCTGGCCTTGACCCAGATTGCCTTTTTCAGAGGCACGGACGTTTGACGAGGACTCGCTGGCATAACAGCACCCCCGCCGCCAGATAATGCACCGGAAATACGAGCTGCTTCCACGGGGCTCGGATGTCAGGTGCGCTCGTTCGCCAGGTCCCTCCAGGTTCGCCTCCAGGGCCATGGGGAGAATACAGCTCCAGACTGTTCCGGGAACACGTCCCATTTTTGACGACGGATCCCAGCTCCACTGGCTTGTCGCCACAACTTGCTGACCAGCTTCACTCGTCTCTTCTGACCATCTTCGGTTTCAGCACTTGTCGATGGTTCTGCAACTTGCCAAGAACGGATCGACGACAACACACGACACACGCAAGTGCCCTCGGTCACCCGACAGAACACCAGACAAAGTATAGTACAACATATACCTATCTACGTGTTTATCGGAATTTTGTTCCCTCTACATCAAGAGGCACATGTGGGACAAAAGACCCTTAAAATGACAACTCAATTTTTTTTCCCACGTACAACAACGTAACGGATTAGAATACCACATAAAGTTGGCCCCTTGAGATCACTCTGAACGAGAGCGCTCAGCCCAGGTCGTGATGAGGTCAAAATTTTGCCCCGAATCGCCAGCGAGAAACCGAAAGGTTGAGAAGTTACTAGCTGGAACGCACTGCTCAATGCACCTGCATTAGCGTTTACCTTTCCTTTATTTTTTTTTATAGCGAACGTCAAAGTTGCGCTGTGGAGCAACATGCTCCACTTCAGTAACCGGCCGCTTTTAGGCGACGATACCTATGCGGCACCAAGAGCGGCTCACACTTTCGACGTTGCACATGGGAACAACGATACGGCTTGCTATGGATTGACTCCTCACCGCTTAGCTCGATATCGTGTTCGATCACCCTCGTGTTTCCGGGGCGGTCCCAAAACACGTCTCCAAACTCGGAACCAATCTTTCTCAGGTCCTCTTTCTCAGGTCCTCCTTCACTTAAGCTAGGCTCCAGGTTCAACTGTTCCCAGATTACTTCCGATTTCCTTTCGATTATCTCACTAGAACTAAAAATTTCTGCTTCCTCTTCCTCCGAAGCACTTAAAAGTAAATTTACGACTGCTTTCAAGTTACTGTGATAAACTTTGTTCGGCCGCCTTCCTAATTTAAATTCACAATTGGTATCAGAAAGCTTCGATACTACTTTTGCGGGCCCTTCCCAATCAACCTCAAGCTTGTTCCTTTTGGACGGCTGCAGCAGCCTTACCTGATTATCAACTTCAAAAGCACGCTTCTTCACCGATTTCTCGCAGTGCTCCTTCGACAGCACTTGTGCCGCGTTTTTGTGGCTTTCCACTAGCGCTTCAATCGAGAGGTCCTCACGCCGCTCTCGAATGAGCGTCTCTCGATCAACTCTCGGCAGCTCGCTCCAACTTTCCGCTACAGGCGAGAGCGTTGCAACCCTCTCGCTCTGACTCAATGGCGCCATGTCGTCTCCCCTTTCTACGGAAACCGCGCCGGTCGGTTCGGCGACGGGCCGCTCGCGTGACTGCTCACATGACTCATGCGGAAACTTTCGTTTCTGGGGTTCCGTCGACCCGCCGACAAGGTCACTTGAGAGTTCACCGCATGGAACCAGATCAAGCTGCCGCGATAGCTTCCGCGCTTGCGATCGCGTGACAGCCATGCACGCTAAGTTGGGGAAGAACGATTTGCCCTGCTCTTTGAGAAGCTGCTCTGAATTGTTGGAGAAAAGATAAGGAAAACGATCGTTTAGCGCGGCAGACACAGCCGCTTCGGTGCGAAGCTTACCGAACGGGCCTTCAATGACAACGGTGGCGATTGGTAAGCGAACACTCTGCTCCTCGGCGACTTGCCTGATCCACGCGCATTCTCCTGTAAAGTCATCCGGAGACACCAATGAAGGATGGACAACGTCCATGGTTGCCGCTGAGTCTCTAAGTGCTCGGCACGTTTTCTCATTCACCCTAATTTCTTGGAGATACGGCTCCAACAACCGCATGTTTTTTTCTGATTCTCGGATTGTTGCGAAGGCAAACTTTTCCTGACAGTTTCTCGCGATGTGTCCTTCCTTTTTGCAGTTGTAGCAGATTAGCGGCTTCCGTTTGTTTTCCCATTCAAATGCCTGTGTGGTAGAAACCTCACTCGATTTCTCCGCTTCTGTTTGCCCTTCCCC